CTTTGGGCAGATCCTCCACAGATGTTGGCAGGATTCTGGTCTTTAGTGCCAATTTGATCGTACAGTACAATAGAAATTATAGAAGAGCGGAAATGGGAATGAGGAAAGGTAAAGAGAAATGAATACAAATAAAACTGGAAAGTAATTGCTCTGGAAAGTAAATTCGGCAGCACTTCGTGGTATGAATGCAGCTCCCTTTCTGAAGTCCCCTGCTTCCCTTTTTATAGAAGTGGAATCCCAACGGTTATCTCTGAAGATGATGGACCTTGAGGCAGATAATTTAGGGAGTAGTGGTCCACTCTGTGGGAATTGGAACTGCTCTTTTGACGTGTAATCTGAGTGGGGCGTTTTTGCCTGCATGACGGTCGTCACAAGGTGTGACGGTCGTCACCTGTGTGACGGTCGTCATGAAGCTGTGACGGTCGTCACATCAGCAAAAACAGCTTGCTGCGTTTTTCATTGTGTTTTCACTCCTTTTTCGTCCATATTTCATCTGAGATTGCTTCTTTTCTTCATGTTGCCTTGTTTAGACGTGATCGTTGAATACCTGCAAAAACATCTGACAAATACACGGAAATAACCCGAAATCGGATTGAAAACGGTTAGACTTTAGTTGAATTATGCATGAAAATATCTATATGATTTCGTGTTATCATTTACATTCATGTCATTTTACATTTTTTGCCTTTTACTTTTATTCTTTATTTTATGCTTTATTGCTTTCCTATTTCAAAAGAACAAAAACATCATAAAATGGCTAAAACCCTAAAAAAAACTCTAATTAGATCTCTTGGACCTTGTGTTACTATCCCTTGCTTTAGGAGTATTTTGGACCTTGGACATTAGGACTTAGTATTTCCCTTTGCTTGGAGTGGTATCTGAGACCTTGAGATTCGTCTGAGACATAATGCTTCATCTGAGACCTTTTGAACTTCAAATCAAGATTTGAAGGCTCTTTATGGCTTGGTGACCTTGGTTTTCCATCTGATTTTTTTTTATATTCATCTATGCCTGTGCTTGTTTATCTTGTGGCTCAATTTAAATGGGAAGGAATGATTGTTTTAACCAGTGTCAAATGCTTGTTCATCTTGTGGTTAGTACACTTGCACATACACAGGTTTTGTCTTGGGTTACCTTACATTGAGACCATTTACTTTATGTTTTAGGATAGTCTCTTCATCTCCTTCCCATTTTTTAAATTCTTAAAACGTCTCTCTATTTCAAAAACTTCTTGTTTTCAAACTTCACACTCTTTTCTTAATAAACTTTGACTTTGTCAAGTGATCCAGAGAATGTCGTTTGTCAAGTGACTTTGTGTTACCAAATTAAAAACATCTTAACTTTATTCAAATAGCAGCGGAAAACCAAATTAAAATACTCGACAAAATCTTTTTTGTTCTCAAATTCAAAACAACATCATGAAAACACCTTAAACACATTAATTTGAATTCAACGATTAAAACAAGCATCCCAACCCCTGATCTTACATGATCAAAGCATAGCCACTAAATATGCAACAAAACTATACAGAAATAACTTCAAAAGCTATCTAACAACAAATTCTAATCCTGATTATATGCAAGATTTTCATGGTGGACAACATCAAAGCAAAGGGGGTGAGCATTCACATCAATAAATTAACGGTATAATTTGCAAGATAGAATTCGAACATTTACACATCGAACGACAATCAAACAACATATTTCTCACACCCAGTCCATCAATATACACAACAATCATATATTCATCATTTAATTATGCAATGAGACTCTCAACTTCAACTAGACTCATATGCATGTGGTACCATATCATCATCAATTGGTCCACTTAGGAACCGGGTTCACCCTGCTCAAACCCTGAATCCACCTACTCGAATTCGGGACAAGTCACCAATTCACCCTACTCGGATTGTAACTTGGCTTTTTCATCAACAACAACAACATAATAAATGCATGTCACAACACGTCAATGCAACAATAACATAATGTTTAAAGTCTCCTCCCGCCAATAAATAAAATATGCATTGACCCAATGATAATAGTTCCCCTTCTGAACTATCATTCCATAACAACATACTCATAAATCAACAACATAATTCATGCTCATACAACAACATATTATCATCACAATTCACAAAAATTATCACAACCTCATAATCAAGTATACACATCTCCATCATTCATTCAAAAATTTGATTAAATCATGTTTAATTGTTAAATCATATCAACCATCATTTAAAACAACAATTAACAGAACATAACAATGCCTAAAATATCCACAAAGGTTTAAAAATCGAATATGACATTTAATATTATCAACACAAGCATCTGCGCTCATTGCAGACCTGTGACGGGTTACCTGTCACAGTAGTGACACCTGTCACCCACTTCAAACATCTAGACTATCACTAAAGTGATGACCGACTTAAAACACAAGCCTGGGCAGCATGACGGGTAGTTGTCACGGTGGTGACGTCCGCCATCGCTCTAAAAGTTGCAGAATTCGTAATGCTAAATGAAGTTCACTGCAAAACTCAATTCCCATATGAGTCATACAAATTCAACCCAAAATAACATATACATGTTATATAATCATCAACAACAGTCAATTTCATCAAATCAATACACTTAGTTCATAGTTTTCATAAATTCGTATTATTACTTAAACCTTCAAACAAACAACAATGGTGAAAGTATATACATTCATCAAAACAGAATTTATCATATAACTTAGTACACGAACTTCCACATCCAAAACAACATTTAACATTAGAACATCATCAAAATTTAGAATTTAAATCAAAATCTCAATTACCCTATTGGAGGTTAAGGAATCCTCAATTCTACCCTTCATGCATATACCCATTATTGATATAATTCACCCCTTACTTGGTTTCCCCAGCATCAATAGCAAAATTCTGGCATTTGATTGTTCTTCCCTTCTCTCCAAAGCTCTAACCTTATATCTTCCTCGTGCCTTTAATCCTCTTTTCATGTACTGATAGAAAATTTCTAAATCTAAATTATTTATTAACCTTATATAATTAGGGTAATCTAGTCATAATTATAATTCTCTCCCCTACTAACAATTACTCTTACTCCTTCCTCCCGTCTATTCCTCTTAATTTATAAATTGAACCCAAACTCTCTAAATTCTTATTTTAATTATATAAATCCAATAAAATAATATTATTTTAATTATTAAAACAAATTTCAATTATTCTAAATAAACTTCACTAACCTCTACTTACTCTCTACACCACACCTTAAGGTCACCCCCAAATCAATCCAATTATCCTACTTAATAATTAAATTAAAATACAAATAAATAAATTAAAACAATAACTCGAAAACTGAGGTGTTACACTTATGCTCCAGGTGGGTCATGATTTCAGCACCACAAGTTTCACATTTGTAGGTCCTCTGGTAAGTTTGAACAAAATTTGCAGCGCGTTCTTTTATGAACTTAGCAACTTGTATTTTCGCTAGGAACAACCGTATGGGCCTTTTCACCACCATCATCTAACAAGAGGATCTCGAAAGAATCCATGGAAGAAACTCTCTTATCAAAGGATTTCCCAGATACCCTTTCCGAATCAGAATCATCAGTCAAGGATATAACTTCATGACCCATGCAATCATGAACAGTGTAAAAGTGATTTGAATCAAAAGATGTTCCCATTCTTGTGGAAAAAGAACCATTTCTCTCATAATCACTAACTATGCAAATATGGGTATCACCCATCTTGACCAAAGAACATAAAATGTTGAAGGTAAAAGCTTGATTTGAGAAGGGTACCTGGTCAGGCTAGATTGATGAAGCAAAAGTAAAAATAAGGGAGAAAGGTTGAAGCTTTAAGTAAAGAGTTGCAACTATTATGGTAAATCCTTTCAGGAGGGAAGAGAGGAAGACACTTTCTAAGAAGAAACACTTGTGAACGAAAATTGAATTTCAAAGATTGTGAAAAGTTTCCTCTATGCTCAACCACCCTTATATATAGGCGAATGTGATGAAACAAGACAAATCAGTTGTAAAAAGAAGTTACAAAATCAAGTGTTAGATTTTTTCTTGAAAACGCAAACAAACTTGAGTGCACTATAAGCGTTGTCATGCCCTAACTAGTCATTTCAGCCCACGTGTCAAAAAGAAGTAGTGAAACCTTTCAATGAATGAAATGCATTTAATGCGCTTGTTCCCTACTACTTTTTCAATTGACTCCAAGCGTTTTCAATCCTAGTTCGAAGAAGTGAACGATGTCCTCGGAGGCTGGCCACAGCCGATAAAGACTTCTCTGACTCCCTAAGCACCTAAAAAGCATTGGGGACAACTGTCAAAGCTCAAACCATTGTCAGTCCACTTCAAATGATCCAATGTATAAAAGTCATCACGCGAGAAGTTCAAGATATACTTTTTGATCTCCATTTTTCACTACACTCATCTTATATCTTAAATAAACTTAAACGTTAAAATATTAGCCATACATATCTATCTCACGCTATCGTATCGTAGATCTACGCCACCGATTTAGAATTCAGCATCACTAACTTGCATTTAATTCTAATTCAAAAACATAACAATATTATATATTTTAATCTTAAGGATGCATATCAATACACACCATATAGTAGTTATTAATTATTTAACTTATTCAAAAGAAGAAAAAAAAGATATTATTTGCAATAATTTAACGGTGAATTAATACAATATTATTCATTTATTATTTTTATACTATAGTATATAATAACCTACCCAGTAATTTCAATTTCATTTTCAATTCCACCTTAGAATCAAAAACCCTCTTCTCTGCTTGCTTATCTTCGTAAATCGCTTTCAACCTCACTCGTTAGCTCGCTCACTCACTCTCTCCGTTTTCGGCGTTTCGATATTGCTGCCGGCGGGAACTCACCGTCAATTCCGATATCATTTCATCGGAATTTCCTCCGATAACAACTTTTAAGGGGTTTAATTTGAAAATTTTGAAGAATAAGGGTTAGGTATCCATGGCGAACCCATCCGGGACTGGTAACCATCAGGAACAACATACTCATGTCAATCCTTCATCCTTTAACGGCAATTCGGTTCCTGAGAGTTCTTCAGGTCTTGTCACGAACATGAAGCATAATCCCGGGATATCCCTTGATTGGACGCCGGAAGAACAAGCCACTCTCGAAGATGGACTCTCAAAGTATGAAATTATGAATTTTTTTAACCTGTATATGCAATATGGAATTACCGTGACTTATCTATAGGTTTTGAATTTATTGTTTTGTTGGAGAATTGAAATCCTTGATAACATAAACCCCATCAATTCAATTTAGGTTTTTCTATTTGATTTTTGTAGCTTAAGTCATGAATTAGGGTTCCAAGTAATTAAACTATTTGCACTATTAATCATGGGATTCACCTAATTTTTTTACTGTACTGATTGAACAGTTAATTCATTTTGTTCTCGGACTGTTTTACACATGTATTTTGATGCATATCTGTAAAATTCTACAAGTTAGTAGTCACATAAATTAATGAAAAATTCAAAATTTCCTTTGCAGATATTCCTCCGAATCTAACATAGTACGATATGCAAAGATAGCACAACAGCTAAATAACAAGACAGTCCGGGATGTGGCTCTGCGTGTCAGGTGGATGAATGTAAGTTACATACTTGTTTGTTTCTGCCTTAAGGCGTTTATTTCGTTGTCAATAGTATAATAGTCTATGGCCGGCGATTTCATATAAGTGCTGTTACATTAGAATTTAGATGTAAATTTATGACCATTGGTAAATGAACTGTTTGGACCAGGCATTAGGGTCTAACTTATCATGATCCTTTTCTAGAAGTTTTTCATAACAGTGCTCAACGGTTTAATGTGAGTGTTGTAAAAAAGTAGAACTACAGTGCTATTGTGCAACGGATTTTGATGAACCTAGTATGAAAACCGTGATGCTATCCCATTTCCTCTGTAAGAATGATAACTGATAGCAGCCGTTATAGCATTTTTCGTTCATATAGATTTAGTGGATGATAGACACTTTTAGGACTTTTCTTCTCTTTAAAAATAAAACGGAAGAGTGGCATAGTGACTCTTTTATTCGCATACGACATTCCTTTTTATTTTAAATAATAAATTGATTTGATTTATTTCAACTGCAATGCGCGGCTCTGCTATTTGCCCACAATGCTATGAGCTATTTCACATAGTGTTTTTTTTGGCATTCCACTATTGATAACCCTGCTTGTGATGGTTGTGACTTGTGAGAAATTTTTTGGTTTGTTGGGACATGATAATCTTATCTTAGATATGTCATTGCCTTGTAAGTATACCCACCTTTTGTATTATAAAATTTTCGTAAGCTTTCAATCTCTTGTACCCCACTTGTGAATTTGTCAATTTCCATAGCCTTCTCTTCAGCTTAAAAAAAGATTTGTAATAGGATTTACTTATTTGACTGTGTTATAATTTAAGAGAGAAGATTGAGAGATAGATATTCATAACAGAATCTGTTACGATGAAATGTTGAATGTATTAGATGATTTTGATTAATTACATGAGCGTGTTAATATAGAGAGAGTGTCACAACTGACTCTCTTCGACTTGAGTGCAAGCAGTTATAACAGCTTGCAACTAATTCTAACTATAATGAAACTAACTGTAACTAATCCTTGCAGACTGTAACAAAATCATAACAGTATACACACATAAGGAAAAGACTATTAGTGAATAAGTCATTCCTAACATATTACATAAGATATTTGAGAGAGATCTTGAAGAGTGACCATCTTTTTCCTTTCTGAGAAAATTGTAATTGATGATCTATTCATCCATCAAATGGTGCAAGATACTTTGTTTCTGTTTGCAACCCTCCCCATACTTAATATAAAATATGAAATAATGAAGCGTAGTGTTATTGAGATTACTTAAACTCAGTTTCTGCATACACTTATTATAATTGCGTGTTTGTTTCTCATTTCTTACAGAAGAAAGAAAATAGCAAGAGAAGGAAGGATGATCACAATTTGTCCCGAAAAAGTAAAGATAAAAAGGTATAGCTTCCATTATTGAGCATTCTTACAATTATTATATTAATTTTGTTCTTGTCTTGTTTCCTAATGCACAGCTTTGGAGATGCTTTTTGTTATCTTTATGTAATGTTGGGATATTGTTTGTGTTTGGTCCTATCCATGTGAATGTTAACTTGTGAATATTATGTTTACCGCTTTCTCACGCTGTCACATTGGTACCCTTGGTTTGGATATGTGAATTTAATTTGTCTTGAATTCCCTACTTGTATAGCTCTATGATTAAAGCCTACTTGGTTATCTTTAGATTGATGATGTATATCCTTGTGTAAGTGTAATGTGGGTTGAAGGCTGATCTCTGGACCTGTTCTTCCATATAGCTCTATGATATGCCCTCATTCTCGGTGCATATATATATTCCACCCAAAAAAATTGACATTTTTTAGGAACCATTCTTGGATGATTTATCAGCTTCAATAGTTTTAACTAAGCTTTTCTTGGACATGTAAATGTTATCCTATATTTTATAGGTTATTATGACTGTCTTTTCTGATACTGGCCTTCATAATATTTTTTAACTAGTAAATGTCGCCTGAACTTTTTGTGCTGACTTTAAGTTTTCTGTATAGCATTTTCCCCTACATATTATTCTCAGAACTTCATATGATGGTTATTATTAGTTTTTAAAATTTTTAATTTTGGAATAAACCGAGCATTGTGAAATTGTTTAACTAGGAAGAAGCTAGTGTAGCATTCTGTTTCCTCAATTCTTTTAACTTGTTAAGTAATTAATAGTTTAGCATATGGGTTAAAAGAAGTACCAGGAAACAAAAGTGAAGTAAGCACAACTAAAGAAAGTTAATAGAATGTTTGTGTATTTGTGAAATATTGGAAACTCAAATTATTTTTTCATGCTTCTCTTCAATGGGACTTAGATGCTTATCAAAAATCTATTTTTATTTCTAGGAAAGGGTTTCTGATCCCGCAGCAAAATCATCTCAATTTTCTGCTCGACCCAATGTCCCTCCATATGCACCACCAATGATTACAATGGACAATGATGATGGCATCCCATATGCAGGTAAGCTACCTTGTGAACTATTTTTCATGCCTTTGGATGTTGTCGTTTGAGGACATTACAATACAGCCTTATATCTCTAGTGGGCACTTTGAGCTTTGAATTTCTCTTCTACGCATTCATTTAAATGGTCTAACTTTTCCTATCTTTTTTTCCCGGACATTTTTTCTTTTCATAATTTATTGTCGTTTATCATCATCCTTTTGCAGCAATTGGAGGTCCTACTGCTGAACTATTAGAGCAAAATGCACAGGCCTTGAGCAGAGTCTCCGCAAACATTTCCTCTCTCCAGGTGTGTTGACATCATCTTTAATCCATCATACCTTTTATGCGCTGATTAGACTGCTTGACTGAAAATTGAACTATTGAGTCCTACTAATTATCTATGTATTTGTACTAATTGCAAATCTTGATATTAGCTCTTTTTCTTTAAGATTTCTTTGTTCTATTTTCTATATTCTTGTTTTATGTTCATTTCATCTCGGTCAGATTACCGATAATATGCTCAATGCAATTTATTTCCATTTGTAGGCCATTTTCTGTCATTGTAAAATTGACCAATAATTTTTTTGTACTCTGTCTTGTTTCCAGATACAGGACAACATCAATCTTTTGTGCCAAACTAGAGACAACATCATTAGAATAATGAATGAGTGAGTTGTACTGTTATTGTTCTTTTCTATATTTACTCTATACAGATTAAAGCAAGTGATTTGTTTGTTTCTCTTTTATATGGACTCATTTGACTCAATTGTAATACTTTACTTTCCTCTCTATCTTTTCAACAGGATGAATGATTCACCTGAGGTGATGAAGCAAATGCCGCCTCTTCCTGTGAAGATGAATGAAGAACTGGCAAATTCCATACTTCCACTTCCAAGAACACCTCTCCAGCCTCAGTCATGATGTTATTATTCACCGTTAACTGGCTTGCCTCTTCATTCTTTCTTTCTGTGACCAAGATTTACTCTTGGAAAAAAGAAAGAAAGAATGAATAATTGTTGATAATTGTCAAGTTGAATTAGTTTTCATAATTTTTTCCCTTCCAGATGTTAGAGGTCTTGTTCCCTTGTTTGGCTCTAACTTAGTAGTGCAATAGGAATTATTTTGTATTCATGGTATTAATTTTATTTAAATTTAAGCAATAAGAGCAATAAGTTGTGGTATAATTTTATTCATCTTACAATACATTTTATGATGCATATTGATTGTATCAAATGGTAAATATTTTTACCTTGTTTGTTTCCCTGCCATCCATTGATTGAAAATGGAAATGTCAAAAACGTGTATAACATGAATTTTTCCACATGAAGTCGCTATGCACACACGATCTGACACTGATATAGGTTTCAAGAAATATTTTGAACCTTGGTAAATAAAAGTAATATTTACACTTTTAGATGTAAAGTTAAGCCATAGTTATCACCCTATCTCTGCTAAAATTTGAACTTGTTTTGTTTTTCTTCTGGTTTAATATAGTAATTCAACTAATCTCTACTTTAAGACTATTTTGATTTGCATTTTAAAGTTTTACTATTTTTGCTTTCTTTGTAAGATACTATCCAATTTTTTGTTCTTGTCTTTTTTTAATTATTGTTGTCTTTCTATTTTGTAACCAAAAACAATCTTTGTAGGGCCACAAGGTGGGGTTTTGTTTGAAAAATGTCTTACGGTGGAGAAGGTTTCTCATATCAACTGTCATTTTCATTTTTTGACCGGACTGTCATCTTCATCATCAATAACTCTCATCACCTATCTCAATTTCTCATCAGATTTTACTTTTAGCCTCATCTTATTAACTTCATTACTCCATCAATAAATTTCACTTTTTCATTTCATTGTTGAGAAGGTATATATTGCATAATAGACCTATTTTTATTCCTTATTTTTGTTAAATATTGATCATATTAATTTACATATTAATATCATAATTATTACAAACTTCTTTGTATAGATTAGTTCATCACTCACTTTTTTTTCATTCACAAACTCATTAGTTTGAAAGAAAGTTTGCAAAGTACTAGATTTTTGTTGTGTTTAATATTCTAAGGTATGCTCAAATGCTTATTTTTTTCTATTTACTTGGTTGTGATAATAATGTATATGTCGATAATGGTATTTGGATAGAATATAATTTCAGATAATAATATTAACTTGTCATTTAAGTTAGTATGTCAAATTGAGTCTTACTTAGTTCAATTGTTAAGTTAGCTTGTATCCTACATTAGCTTAGTAGTTTCTAAATAGACTAATTCTCTCAGGTTGTTGAGAGATGTTAATTGTTGGTATTCACTTGTAATTTTTGAATTCTTATTGAAAAAGTGAATAAAAAAACAGATTTAACCAATTTCTATTATTTTTATTCCTTCTCCCCTTTTTGTAAAATCTAATAGAGTTTATTGTATTTGTTCAAGAAATTCAATATTTTCTCATATTTAATTTGTTCTTGACGACGTCAATTCACAACACCGTGTTTGATGAAATGTTTGAATAAAAAACTATTGTTTTTTGTTTTTGTTTTTCTTATTTTTCTCTTATAAGAATGATTGTTTTTTTTTTTTTTTTTTTTTTTTTTTTTTGTTTTTTTGTTTTTGTTTTGCTAGGTCTTTATTCATATACACTGTTGTTTTATAATTGTTTTGCTAGGATTGTGAGCATTTAAGGTTCATATTTGAGTATATTTATATTTTTATTTAACTTTGTTTATATATAATGATGTCTACCAGAAAACTTAGTGTGGATCTTCCCACAAATAATGAAAGGGTGCAACTAAAACTAAAGCTTTTTAGGATCACAAATTAAATGAGCACTTTGTCAAATTGTGTTTGAATCAAGTTTTCAAGGGAGAACGTGTTGGTACAAGCTTTATAAATTAGGGTGTGATCATGTGAAGAATACTATCGTAGCACCTGATGAGCATTGAGAGAGTAAACAATTGGTATGTTATAAGAAAAATGTGTTGTTTCGTAAGACTTAGGTGTTTATGTTTCCTGGTCTTTAAAAAAATTTAGGAACAAGGGACTTCCATTCATTAATGAATTTACCATACTTTTCAAGGATGTGCGTCGTCATGTGGCGTATTGCCTAGTGAGACCGATAACGATGATAATGACGTATATCGTCCATGTTTGGACCATATTGGCGTAATGATAAAAGAAGGATCTGGTGATAGTGAAGATGCAAGTGTTGGATCAACAACTAAATTTGCAAATAATGAACTCAACTCTTAAAAAAACGAATACCAAAAAAATGTTGAGTGTAAGAATACGATTTGATTCTGCATTGGATCTTATGCTTTGATGATAATAATACATAGATTCTTAAAGAACAATTTTGTAACCTAATGATTTTATTAAGTGTGCAGATACTAGATACATGTTCTGACTCTAATAAGTTATGTGTGGCATCATCAGACTCTGAGAAGTGTGTTCTACAAAGATTTCTTGACGCTTATGACGTAGTCAAACTCTGATGTTTTGCGCTCAACACTTTGATGACCAAGGTTCTGAAGCTTTTGAAGACCAAGCTTTGAAGATTATGAAGACTAAGTTCTGAAGACTCGGAAGACCAAGGTTTTGAAGATTCTGAATACTCTCTCATACATACTCTGATTCTTCTTTTATGCATGCTTCATCATTTCTCTATCTGAAGCCACTGAATAATTGAAGATAAGATCAAAAAGTTTTACGTGAGAAAATAGTACACAGAACAAGATCAATATTCTTTCCACCACACTAATTTTATGGAAAAAAGACAGTACTATTGTACCATTGTGTCTCCCATTTTCATAGACCGTTATGCAAGGATACTACTACATTTTTGTATTCCATTTATGCCCTCCAACGAATCTTTTCATTGCCTATATAAAGGAGTCTTGGAAGAATGAAAAAAGTAGGAACAATGCATAACATTTTGGCAAAAGAGCTATCACATAATTATACATCGCAACACTGTGAATATTTTGAGAGAAAGAAAAGCAAACACGAAGGAACTTTTGTTCATACACTTTCATAGAAAATATTTTGTGTGTAAATCTTTGTATTTCTTTTGTGTAATCTGCTTTCTTAGAAGCATCTTGTAACACACTTTGTATCTCAACTTTTGAGTTGTAATTCCTTGAGAGACTAGGGTATAGTCAAAATTTCTCAAGAAGACATTGACAGTTAGTCTTTGTGGTTGTAATCAAGTTTGATTATAGTGTATTAAGTCCATGTAATAAGGAAAAATCACATTGGCAGGTGAACTGGATGTAGCTTAGTTAACAACAAACCAAGAAACAATAATTGTGTTCATTATTTTTGTTCTTAGTTTTCTCCTTTTGTTGTTTTGGGTAGCAAATGTTTTTCATTTTAGAAACCCAATTCAAACCTCAATTTTTTGTGTTTTCGTTACCTTCAATTGGCATCAAAGCTCCGATTTTTGTATTGGTTATTTATCAAACACTTTACAGTGTCAGATAAAGATCTAGATTTGTGAAACACAATGGCAGGAGTCCCTTCACCAGCTGCACTCGCTGTTAACAATGACAGAGATCACTGTAGTCCCAAACCCCTAGTTTTTGATGGAGAAAAATTTGACTACGGAAAAGATAGAATTGAATATTTCTTTCTTGGCTATGACGTGGATCTATAGGATATGGTAGTTGATGGCGACATTCATCCTGTTGATAATAGTGGTAACAAGTTAGAAATAAAAGTGATGATTGAGTAACAAAAAAAAAAGATTACAAGAATAATCTTAAAGGTAGAACCATTATGATGAATGCTATATCATATGCTGAGTATGAGAAGATCACAAATAGAGATACATCTAAGTCTATATTTGACTCATTAAAGATGACTTATGAAGGAAATGCTCAAGTGAAAGAAACCAAGACGTTTGCCTTGATACAAAAATATGAAGCCTTCAAAATGGAGGATGATGAAACAATTGCGAACATGCTCTCAAAGTTTTAGACTCTAGTTGCAGGATTGAAGGTTTTGGACAAATGTTACTCTACTATAGATCATGTTAAGAAGATTATCAGAAGCTTACCCATGTGATGAAGGCCTATGGTAACTGCATTGAAGTTGTTTAAAGATGTGAACAACACTAGTCTTGAAGAACTTGTAAGTTCTTTGAGAAGTCACGAGATAGAGCTTGAAGAGGATGAGACTCAAAGAAAAACTAAATTTGTGGCTATGAAATCTATCGGAAAGACTAAAGCCTTTCAAGATTCTGAAGAAGATGAGTTGTCTCTTGTAGTCGAAAACAATCCCTTGTGATGTGCCGTTCCAAGAGTTGAGGCTTATATAAAGCGCTCATCCGGAATGTACACATTATTCTTTGATAAGTATTCGTGACCCGTGTCGAGAACTCTTGTGTAGGGTTAGCCGGAGAAAGTTACTTATTAGATAGGTATCCATGACCCGTGTCGAGAACTCTTGTGTAGGGTTGGCTGGGGAAAGTTACCTATGAGCTAGATATCCGTGACCCGTGTTGAGAACTCTTGTGTGGGCTGGTCGGGGAAGGATATCTATATTACAAGGATTCATAACCCATATCGATAACTCTAGATGTAGGGTTGGCCGGAGAAAAAGGTCTTAGTAAGATTTCTGATTAGTGATTGTTTGAGTTGATGAAATCAAGAGGCATGTTTCCATACATTACTAACTGTGTGAACTCAAGTCTTATCCCTTTCCCCTTTTGACTTGAGATAGAAATTAATTAGAACCCCATAGAGCCGAGTGAACCCATAAGATAAGGGAAATCATTGAGATTATTATATCACCCCATTATTTTTGTTGTTTTTTAGGTATCATTTGCAGGTTTAGTTTGCATGTGGAGCTATGATTGGATGTTTCAAGAGAAGTTGAGTTTTGTTTATTTCGTCGTGTATTGATTATCTTGTATCATGTACAATGAAG